TTGCCCCGAGTGCAAAGTGTCAGGGTCGCGACTTCGTCCTTTCTGGACGAGGTCCGCCCGTGTGACCACGCATGTCCCGAGTGCAAAGTGTCAGGGTCGCGACTTTGTCCTTTCTGGACGAGGTCCGCCCGTGTGACCACGCATGCGGGGACCAAATGCCTCAAATTTTTGAGACTTTTGGTCCCCCTGTGAGTATGTCCTCAGTTACTTCAACCAAGTGTTGTGGGGGTGTGAGGTCCCACCAGGAAAGAGGATTGAATCAAGCGCCCGAATCTGGATGTGTTGTATGCAGAGATGCAGGAAAGCAGATCAATCACGATTTTCTGTACCTCTCCATAGACCCGTCCAGATTCAGGATTTCAATCCAATCCTCTTTTTGCTACAGGGACCTGGGCCCGGTGAAAGTCTTGGGAAAGGGATCATGGAAGAGGCGCTGGACGTCTCTTTCGGAAATTTTGGCAAATTTTCGGTCCTATGCCGGTCCCATGGTACTCAGTGGTCAAGCCTCCACTCTTTCAGTGATTCCCACTGCGAAGTGACAAGGGAAGCTGGACCGGGGGCCAAGTCCCGCTAGCAAGGTTTCGTCCCTGCTGCTGGTACTGTGTGACACTGCGCGATGCAGTGCGGCAGATGAGTGACAGCAGGAGGAAGAGAAAAGAAACAAGAGAGAGGGATTCAGAATCTGTAATGAAGGGACAGACTGGCCAATGACAGTGGCTGGGAACCAGTAGGCCGTTTGGACCTTGTAGGTAGTCAAGGAAATGAGCTCACCACAGCGGCAATAGCAGGTATTAAGGGCCAGATCCCACTAGCCCCTATTGTTCATTTCTGACCGTTGATCTTCATAATCGAGGGTAAAAAATGAATAATCCAGGGTAGTGGGATCTGACCCTAAACCACCAGTACTTGGCCCAGCTCTCGGCCGCGGAAAAAAAAAAGAGTAGAAATGTTTGTAGTCGGATGAATTTGGGTGCTCCTGTAGTAGCCGGTACGTTTCCTAAAATACTCCACCGTCTTCACCCCCGAATAGAATGCCCGGTAATTATCTCCGTAGCGGGGCTGAACGTTGTGCCAAATACAGCTATAATGACCAGGCGTTATATTCGGGTGAAGACGGTAGGAAGCACTGGTGGTTTTTTAAATGTTATTGTTGAAGCTAGTTATATGCCTTTTATCTATCTGTCATGTAAAGATTTATTTTCTCTTTGTAATAAAGAAAATACTTTTATAAATTTATCTTATCAATCATCTGAGTCTCGGCCCCAACCCCTAGGTACTGGTGGTTTAAAAATGGGACTGGTGGTCCTCCCCTGCAGCCAAATGTGGGTCGGGCTATAGGCGAGGAACCCTCTACACCTGTGAGCAAAAATGTGGCGAAATTTTTGGCCAATGGAAAACCGCCTTAGGGCCTCGTCCGACACCACTTGAAAATACTTCAGTTTGAAGGGCGCCCTAAATGAGAAATCGAGATTAATTTACACTAAGTTAACTCCATTTATGGTTCCACGTGCACTTGAGGAAACCCTTGAACAGGATCTCTGCACTTGGAAACCGAAACCCACGACTTGACCAATCCTGGACGTGGACCAGAATGCCTGCTGGAAAAAAAAACAAAAAACGAAAAAAAAGCCCCACTCGAACTGCGCTGCGGTATCAGTTCGCAGTTGAACTCAAGGTAATCCCCCCCTCCGGGGAGGTACCTTGAGTTCTAGTGCCTTGCGATATTGCCCCAGCGGCACTTGAGAGTTTCAAGTATGCACACACTTGAGAGCAGGAATTTGCATTCGCACAGTTAACCCTCGGGCTTACCAGAGCAGTCAATGCTTTTTTTTTAGGGGGGGGGGGCAGAACTGCTGGGAGCTGGCAGCCAAGACCTCACTGTTTTTCTTTTCTCATTCCTGGGGAGGTCCCACTAGCAAAGAGGATCGGAACGAGATTATGGAGATGTGCAGGAAATCGAGATTGAACTGCTGCTTTTCTGCATCTCTGCATAAAACACATCCAGATTCAAGATCTCACTCCTATCCTTTTTGCTAGTGGGGCCTCGGCCCTGGCTTTCTTCTCAATGTGCAAAAGGGACGCTGGACCCGTTTTCCAGCAGGTGTGCCTCCCCACCAATAGACTGGAGCAAAAAAAGAGCAGGAATTCGAAGTGAAAACATTAACAGTCCTTCGGCTGAGTTGGTTAGGCATGCAAGTGGCATTCAGGAGGTTGTGGGTTCAAGCCCCATGGCCGCCTGCGGCGCACTTAGTGCCAACGGACTGTGATAGTCCTCTGGGTGCCCCTGATCGGTATTAGCAGGGTCTATGACCACCACGGGTGTGAGTGTGAGCGCGAGTGGGTTGTATGTGGTGTGTGGGAGAGTGTTGGCCATAGCCTCTGCTGCTACTCGATGAAGGGTGGGGGACAATGAGAAAGGGAGGCACAGCTACTGGCAGGTCTCGGTCTTTGTGTTAGCCAGACCCCCACTGGCGGGCAGTGGCGGCCCCAACCCTATACCGCCCTAACCATTAAGGGCAAGGGGCAACTATGCTTCACAGAGAGAGGAAACTATGCTTGCAGGGGTCCCCTCTAGATAGTCTTAGGAGTAGGTAGTGGAAGGCAAAAAGAAACAGAAGTTGAGAGAAGAGTATAGAAAAAAAAAAAAAAAAAGATTTCTGCAAATCACCTGCTCCAGATAGAACTCTGTAGTTTGCTTTAGATCATTGGGTATTTGTCGTTTCTTGGCTAGTCACATTAGGCTATGGTCTCCTGCCAATGTAAGCAAGGTCTCTTCATTGGAGGTAGTCTGAGAACTGTCCTCTTTTCTGTAATGTCTTTAAGCGAAGCTGGGTAAGGCTCCCAGTCAGAATAGCAGAATAACTCGTTAATTTGCTTAGTGGTTGCCTCTCCTATTTCTGGATTTGGAATTTGTTAGTCCAGCTGCAAAACAAAAAAAACAAAAAAAAAACAAAAAAAAACACCCAAGAGCCTAGCTCAGTGGGTACACCCATGAACTGTTGAAATACAGACCCCTTTAAGTTCGAATCCAGATGATGGAATTTGACGAGTAAAACCAACTACTAATGAATTGCTTGGGGCCGGTCAGCTCAATCAGCTCAATGATAATATCTCAAGGCCGTCGCCCTTTTTATTTTTTTTTATTTTTTTAGAGAAAAAAAAAGTGAAAACATTACGCGGTAATAGGCGGGGTCATTAGGGAGGGAGGCGTGGAACGAAGAATTTTCCTTCAACCCTTGAGAGTTCAAGTGGTGTCGAACGAGGCCCTTATAGGGGCCCTTAGGGCATACTCACACTAGGCCCTCAAACTCACAAAATCACAAAATGAGAGGCCAGATCGAGTCCTTGTAAAGGCAGGACTAGATCTGGCCGCTGATTTTGGGATTTTGTGATTTTGAGGGGCCTACCCCTACCCCTATCCCTACCCCAGAACAAAACCTCCGCTAGTGGGATTCGGGCCCCGATTTCCAGCTCAGATTGACTTACCGTGAGGGCACGGGTGCGCAGCGCGTAGTTCGTTTGTTTATGTGGTTCGGGAAGGGTAAGGTATTGATTATGCTGTATGTATGTT